GGGGGAGGGGGGGTGGAGCCAAAGTACATATAACAAGAAACAAAAGCTTTTAATTCTCAAATCATTGTCATGAATAATGCCAACAAGGACTCATCAATAAAGTGCAAAATTAAACAACATTATTCATATCAACTTTGTTCATGGTTTTTCTCAGCAACCTGAAAGAAGAAATCAGAAAGCTGTTACCACAAAGTTGATTCTTCTTCACTTCTCTTCAGTGTTTGCTTTCTCGAAAAAGGTCTTTTTAATCCAATCAAATGGCTGGAAAAGAAACAATTAAAACTTTAAGGTTTCATGTTCATAAACTGAGGAAAAGAGACACTATGGACAAAACATAGTTTGCAAAAACATTTTCTTTTTGTTGGAGTAGAGAAGCGCATTTGCTTATGAAATTGAAGTGCCACCTGCTGAGATATTTAACTTAGCCTACACATAATCAACAATAATGTTTGATAAACAATTTCTCAGGTTTAAATCAGCAGTTAAAGCACATTTCCATCCATAATCATCAAAAAAAAGTGAAACAAGAGCATTTCTATTTTATACGGGCAAGCAGACAATCAGATTAAAAACAACTATTATGGTATAGCTAATCACATGTAATGACAAGTTACAGAAAAATTATTAAATGCATAGATTAAGAAAGGATGTCATTCTAGTGCCTGAAAAGAATACACTAAAGCTTTTGTGTGTTCTCTATTTGAATAAGACCAATTTTATAGAGTATGTAACTTCTATCACAGGCTCAAGTTCAGCTAAGAAAAAATGGATCAGGTTGAATTGGAACATGGAAAACTTTTTACAAGCTTTCACCACCACTTTGAAAAAATTTATTATGTGTAAATATGTTAGATATCTGTAACTTCATAGGTGAAATAGTATCTTAAAAAAGAATATTTTTTTTACCGCTACACTGAAAATATTTTGTTGCAAATGAATAAGATATAAAAAAAATTTCACCGCTACACTTAAAATATTTTGTTGCAAATGAATAAGATATTAAGTAATTTTCAATGCATAAATCATAATTCTTGACACGGATCTTTTCAACCAAAAACAAATGATGATACCTTTGGTCACAATAGAAAATGAAGTGATGTGGATTATTCAAGAAGGAAAACAAGAAGATGATGAGTTTATAATCATTATGCATATTGACATTGAACCAAAAAGCCCCATTAGTCTAACAATATGGAGTTGCCCATAAATGCCAAGCCAATGAATAAGGACAATCCCATTCACTATACTTTTCTATGTTCAAAGTTTTGATCAATTCCAGAGTGATGTTAAGGGCAGTAATGTATAGTCGAAGTTTTTAATAGTCTAAACCTGATATCTCTCATCTCCACATCAAAACCTTAGATTCATACAAAAGTTTTGAGCACAGGATCAATTAAGTGATGTTAAGGGCAGTAATGTATACTTGAAATTTAATATGTTGATCAAATGGATACACACACACTGGGAACAGCAGCTAATACCAATCTGATGCCATGTCAGAACACAACATAACATATGGTAAAGAGACAGACAATGGGGTCAGAGTGCTTCCGAAATTCACTCCAAAACAGTTCCAAAAAACTTCATGTTTTGAAAGCACGGAGATTCAAATTCAGTCCAAAACTGTTCCAAAGACATAAAGTAAATTGTCTCCAAAGGTGTTGGAATGGATCTCTTTCCTTTCAAAAGAGAAGTACAGATAGACAATAACCAAACGCTAACTAATCAAACGCAACCAGAATGAACAAAAAGAAAAACATGGCTCTACTACTCCATCATAATTCTAATCAATCTTCTATCTACAAATAATATATAATTCCAAACACCCAGTTTATATTATTATTTCTCTAATCTTCCACTTGAAAAGAAAAGCAAATTACAAATCCATAAAAAAGATCCGTCTTAAATACAATTACTTATTTGTTATTTCTCCACCAAAAATATAAACAAATAAAAAATAAAAATCAGACCTTGTTGATTTATGAAAGAAAAGAGAGAGATCGTATCGAAGTTGAGATAGATCTATACCTGGACAAGCCATAGAGCGGTGGTGCCGGCGGCGACGCCCCAAAAGGCGGCAGTTTGGATATCGGTGGATTGGAGGCGGAGTCTGGGACTCAAGAACTTGAACATGGCGTTTTCTCCTGCCATTAATTCTTCAATCAATTAAGTTTTGGAAACAAGGAATTGTTTGTCAATTCGCTCACTGTCAGCGCTCTTCGCTGTGGCCACGCTTTATATTCACACCGTTGGATTGCTATGTATTTGGAAATTGATCCCAATTTGGTCCTCATATTTACACTTAGTTTCATTATGGTCCATATCATTCTAGTCCTATTAGTCCTGGAGTTGCTTGTGACTTGTGCGCTTTCTCTTAAATTTAGTTTCGTTCTATACTTAGATTTATGGGCTCGAGCTCCACCATGGCCAGAACGTTTTTTTATTGTTAACAAAAACATTTATTAAACAGTGGTACCTTAATAAGTTAAAAAAAAGTCTAATATTAATAATACAAGTATTGAACAATGAAATAAAAAATATATATTAATTTAAATAAAAAACAAGTAAACATATTTAATATTAAATAATAAAACTTAAAAAATATGACTTAAAAAAAAACCATTAAGCAAACCCGAATAATGTTTTAAAGTTGGATTAATCTCTAAAACTCAAAATCCATTAAATCATAAATTTAGACTCAGTTAAATTAATTCTCAATCAATATAATATTAAATGATAAAATTAAAAAAAAAATTAAAAAAATTTATCAAAAAAAATAATAATAAAAACATGAATAAAATTTGACTAGAAGAAAAAACTTAAGAAGGATAAAATTATATATATAAAAATATAAATTCAAAAATTTGTCCTGAACAAAACAAATGGCAATAAAAAGATATGGACTAAATTCAAAAGATTTAAAAAATTAAAGAAAAAAATAAATTTTAAAAACATTATTTGAAATATTGAAAGATTAAAATTAAAAAACAAAATATAAATTTAAAGAATTAGCTAAAGAAAAACCTAACAAAAAACGTAAAATAAAACGACCCAAGATAATTGAGGTCATTTTCTATACCAACAAAAGATTCTACAAAAAGAAAATAAATAAAAAGAATGGAACTCAATATCTAATTGATAAATGTTGAAGGGAAAAAAATAAAAATAAAAAAACTTAAACAAAGAAAAATAAAAAAACCAAACAAAACAAGCATGAACTTCATAAACTTAGTCGAATTTTTAAAACTCACAATCCATAAAATCTTGGAATCGAGTTTAATTAAGAAGCGTAGTTCTCAATCAATTTAATATTAAAAGATGGAATTATAAAACAAATATCAATTTAAAAAACTTTTCAAAGTAAAAAATAACAAGAAAAAAAATTAATAGGAAAAAAAACCTAATGAGGATGAAATTATAAGAAAAAATTAAAAATAATCCCAAACAAAACAGATAGCAATCAAAAGAATTGATAATCAAATTTAAAAAATAAAAAAATAGAAGTTGGTGAAATTAAAAAACAATAATTTTATGGATTATTCAGGATAAAAAAAATAATAATCAAAATGATAGGGACCAAATATATATAAAAAAAAAATTAAAGGGGCTAGCCTAAAATTTTAAAAGGATTGGCACAAATTTTTAGGTGGAGAGAAGAAAAAAAATATCAACAGCAAACTAGAGTTGTGTTTGTAATAGAAAATGATATTTAGTAATTAAATGACCTCCCACACACCGTCCAAAAAGCATAGAGCCAATATTTACTAGAATCTACTTGACATTAGTCAACAATGTTTTGTTAACATTAAATATTTATTAAAATTCAAAAATACCCTTCAGTTAACTTAGATATTAACAAAAAAATCATGATAAAAAATCATAAAACCTCTAGAAAGATAGCCTTATTAATTTGTTAACAAAAAAACACACCAGGCTTAAGTCTTTTTTTTTTTTTATATTCCTGGTGTTTTTATGTGTTTTAACTATTTTTTATTTTAAATTAATAAAAAAACATTAAGCAAACCCGAATAATGTTTCAAAGTTGGATTAATCTCTAAAACTCAAAGTCCATTAAATCATAAACTTAGATTAAGTTAAAAAATTTAATTCTCAATCAATATAATATTAAATAATAAAATTAAAAAAAATTAAAAATTTATCAAAAAAAATAATAAAAATAACATGAACAAACTTTGACTAGAAGAAAAAACTTAAAAAGGATAAAATTACATATATAAAAATATGAATTCAAAAATTTGTCCTGAGCAAAACAAATGGCAATAAAAAATATGGACTAAATTCAAAAGATTTAAAAAATTAAAGAAAAAATTAAATTTTAAAAACATTATTTGAAATATTGAAAGATTAAAATTAAAAAACAAAATATAAATTTAAAGAATTAGCTAAAGAAAAACCTAACAAAAAACGTAAAATAAAACGACCCAAGATAATTGAGGTCATTTTCTATACCAACAAAAGATTCTACAAAAAGAAAATAAATAAAAAGAATGGAACTCAATATCTAATTGATAAATGTTGAAGGGAAAAAAATAAAAATAAAAAAACTTAAACAAAGAAAAATAAAAAAACCAAACAAAACAAGCATGAACTTCATAAACTTAGTCGAATTTCTAAAACTCACAATCTATGAAATCTTGGAATCGAGTTCAATTAAAAAGCATAGTTCTCAATCAATTTAATATTAAAGGATGGAATTATGAAACAAATATCAATTTAAAAAACTTTTCAAAGTAAAAAATAACAAGAAAAAAATTAATAGGAAAAAAAACCTAATGAGGATGAAATTGTAAGAAAAAATTAAAAATAATCTCAAACAAAACAGATAGCAATCAAAAAAATTGATAATCAAATTTAAAAAATAAAAAAATAGAAGTGAGTGAAATTAAAAAAATATAATTTTATGGATTATTCAGGATAAAAGAAATAATAATCAAAATGATTGAGATCAAATATATAAAAAAAAAATTAAAGGGGCTAGCCTAAAATTTTAAAAGGGTTAGCACAAATTTTTAGGTGGAGAAAAGAAAAAAAATATCAACAGCAAAATAGAGTTGTGTTTGTAATAGAAAATGATATTTAGTAATTAAATGACCTCCCACACACCATCCAAAAAGCATAGAGCCAACATTTACTAGATTCTACGTGACATTAGTCAACAAGGTTTTGTTAACATTAAATATTTATTAAAATTAAAAAATACCCTTCAGTTAACTTAGATATTTACAAAAAAATCATGATAAAAAATCATAAAACCTCTAGAAAGATAGCCTTATTAATTTGTTAACAAAAAAACACCCAAGGCTTAAGTCCTTTTTTTATATTTTTGGTGTTTTTAAGTGTTTTAACTATTTTTTATTTTAAATTAAAATATGTTTGGAAATGTGGTTATGGTTATTTTTTAAAGTAATTTTTATGCTAAAATACATTAAAATAATATTTTTTATTTAAAAAAATATTTTTAAGATCGACATATTAAAATGATTTAAAACATATAAAAAATTTAATTTTTTACAAAAAAAACAAAAAAAATAAAATTTTTGAAAACACATATAGATGTTCTCGAACTACCCTTAAAGAGCTTGAAAACTACGTTGAATTGAATCATAATAAAAAGATTATATTGTCTTCAAATCCAAGTTCAATATTTTTATTTTTTTACTTAGGAAAAATTCATGGGAATACTATTCTAATGAATAGTGTCACAAGTATAGGGGTAGAGTAATGCCTCTTCCTCCCTTCTTGTTAACACTAGCGAATTAACTGGTCAATTTTTAGGACAAATGATGGAGAAAAAAAATAAAAATAAAAAGTAATTAATTTCATCAAATTGTTTTCAAGATTTTATTACAAATAAAAGCTAAAAATCACATGCTGAAATATTTAAACAATCTAATTACAATTTTGTCTCAATGTAATTGGGTATTTATTTATGTACTCTTTGATAAAATAAAATAGAAAATAAAGAAAGCTCTCTATGCTTTTCAGATTGGGACTAAACATGAATCTAAGTCCTTGTAAATGAATGAGGAAGGAGACACATTATCAATTTTAAATCGTAGGCTTTATATCAATCTCTTCTTTTATATAGCTAGAAATAATAATCAAAGACATTTGATTGGGAAGGACTTTGACCTAGTAATCGTAATTCTTAAATCCAAAGCCATTTGGGTTTAATGTAATTGTGTACTTTCTTGCAATGAATTTAATTATTTTTCCTTGCCTAATATTAGCTATAGTAATTAATTAAATAATCCCACCTCAAGTCACTGTGGTTAGTATTTTTCATTTGAAAATATTTTAAAATATTTTTTTTATTTAAAAAAACAAGTCGTTAGTATTTTTCATTTAGAAATATTTTTTTATTTTTAAAAAATTAATTTTAATAAACACATAAGAATAATTTAAAAATATTAAAAAAAATATTTACTTTAAGCAAAAAAAAAATTAATTTTTTTAAAAATATTCTTCAAGCAAATAAATAAATAAATTTTTTTAAAAAATATTTTTAAAATATAAAAACAAACAGAGGACCATCTTTCTCCATTCCCAAGAGATCGGACCAATTTCCCTTTTTTTTTTTCTCGCCTTCTTTTACCTCAACTCATCTTCTTTTTTCTCGCCTTCTTTTACCTCAACTCATCCTTGGTATGCTTTCAGCAAGACAAAATGGTCACTCTAAAATCCCCACACCAAGTTTCTTCATAGATGGTGAAATGGACAAACAACGTGCTTTTGCAAAGCCATTTATTCATGGTGAAATGGACAAACAACGTGCTTTTGAAGGGGAAGAGAGACAATCCACAGCAAGAGGAGAAAATATAGAAACCATTGGAAGCAAGTTCCATCGAAACCATCCATGTTATATCTCGTCTTCCACACTAGCTAAAATGTACTTGAAAGCTGCTGTTTAGCATCACTGTTGTTACTATCTGGTTTAAAGGTGGGTCGGCGACCCTTATCAGGACCCCCAATAACGCCCCAAGTTTCAAACTGCCTTTGCCGAGCTCTTGCCCTCTCCTTCTCTTCTTCAGATTTTGATGAATGACAATAGGGACAAGAAACTCCATATTCCCACTCCGGTGCTTCCATGTCAGCATCACTAACTGGTTGCTTACATCCATAGCAAAGCTTGAAAGTTCCCTGTTCCAAACCATGCTCCACTGAGACCCGTTTGTCGAAAACAAAGCACTCACCCTCCCACAAGCTCTCTGACTTTGGAATTTCCTCAAGGTATTTCAGAATCCCACCCTCCAAATGATAAACCTGGCAAACAATTATAATTGAAGGATCAAAATATCAATACCCAACCAGAAACGCTAACACTGTTCAAATACAAACAAAATGCAAAAACATCACAACAAACAAACTGAGGTCAAATAAAGGCAGGCACTTAATGCTGTTTGGCAGTGATAATGCATTTTGTGAAGAACACAACTAACATATATCTCAACAGAAAACAAAAAATAGTACTAGATATATAATTAAGTCTGAACTCTGAATCTAGAAAAGGAAAGGAAATTAGCCTCTGCTATTACAGTGCATGATTTGAGGATTCATTAAAAATTAAAACCTGAACACACCATAATACTTATCAAAAGATCACCTTTAGTATGTGATCACAAGGTACAAGATCATGTTTATCAAACAACATACAATCAACCAGTAGGTTCATCAAAATGCATGGCAGAAGAAAGATTTCAAATAGAAAATCACCTCTTTGAAACCTTTGCAAAGGAGAAAACTCGAAGCCTTTTCACATCGAATTCCTCCTGTGCAGTACATTGCAACTTTCTGAGGCATTTTCTTGTTTGGGCTCTTCGTTTCTTTATCAGTGCTTCCACCAGAACAGTTCACCTCATCAGTTTCTGAATGTTGGAGCTCATCATCCACCCAAGATGGAAATTCACGAAATGCTGTGGTACAAGGATCAACAGCTCCTTTGAACTTCCCAATTCTAGTTTCATAGTTATTTCGCACATCAACTACCACCTATGCATGGGATCAATTACAAGATCAGACAGTAGAAAGTGGGAAAAACACTGTTAAATTAAACTCCAACTATGCCTTATGTATATTAACACCTCATTCTAAACAAAGAAAGAAAGGGAAAAACACAAAACTCAATTCTAAACTTAATTTTTATGGAGCTTATCAGATCCAATTTTGACAATCATATTTGATTTGACTTATTGAAAGTTTAGAAACAAATTTTTATTGTTGTAAACTTAAGCTTAGCATGAATACTGTAAAATCAATTATGTTCAATTTTATGTATTGAAAGTCAGAAACAATTTTTTATTGTAGGAAACTTAAGCTTTGCATGAATGCTGTAAAATCAGCATAATATAATCAATTCTAACATGGTTAGAACACACCATTACAATTTAAATAAAAAAAGCCTCCTGACTTCATCTGTCAACAGCTTAAAAACAAGCGTTGTTGCAGTTATAATTACAGCTGCTGAACAATAAACCATAGCATGCAATGCTAAGATTGACAAGCCTTTTATCTGTTTGTTAAGGAATAAAAAGCAGAAAACATCAAATCCATCCGTTTAATAACAGTACTTAAACAGAAAATGCCAACTTTTAAACATGTCAAAATCTAAAAAAATTGGAATAGCATCATCTAACACACAGAAGAACTTAGATTAAAAAAAAAAAAAACTTGCACCGTGTATGGACTAAATAATTATTGAGATGAACATTTGTGGTTGATTAACAGAAATAAAGTTAAGCCATATATCAATTCACAAACACAACCAACCCTAACTAGTTTCGGGTTAAGGGTAAGTCTTAGTTGGGTATCTAAACTCAAGCTCTTCCTTTAAATAATAGGAAAAGCAAGCACGTGATGTGAGACACTCGGAATAGCTTATGATAGGGGAAAAAACATTATAACAAGCAACAGAAAAAACTGAAATAATATTATATTATACTCACTGTATCTGGATCACTAATCAATGCATTCCAGTCCCTTGGCTTCACATACTTCCCAACCCTTTCATTAGGTGAGATTGAGGGCATTCCAAGAGTAACAATCTGCTTATTCATGAAGAAAGAACAATATAGGAATAGCCTCGTTATACAATACAACAGATGTATTTCCCATAATCATGAGTCTCTCCCAACAAAATGAAAATTCTCCTGTTTATGAAGCAATACCTCTTTTTTCAACTTGACCCTCACATGATCCCAGCGGAAGGGTGCATCTTCCCCTGCAGCAAGAGGAGAACCACTTGTGTGTCCATGATGGATAGCTTCCTCCTCGGGACTAACAGGTGACTCCACTTGTCTTAACCCCTTTAGCCTGTCATCACTTTGGATGAATCCAAGAACATTCTCCACTGATTCCCAAGTCCCACAGATACTGCCATTAATTCCCTCTGGTGCAAGAATGATCCCACCTGAAACACGCTGAAAAGCATCAGCTTGGCAAGGTGCGAACACAATGGATGAACTTGACCAGCAGAAGAACAATGTAAAGAGAAGTGCAAATTACAAGGTCAGACACGTAAACACTATACGGCTCCTAGAAAACAAAAATCTAAAATCTGCTAAACTCAAAGCGACAAAAGGTTAGTCCCAGACACTACAGGTTTGGCTACCATGTCCTATTCCAGATTCGTTTATTCTTCGATTTTAAAATAATTTTTTTTCTAAAAAGAAGCAAGTATCAGTAATTACAGCATTACAATTCTTCATGCCACATTCACTTGGAAAGTAAACTAAGAAGCAACCACAGCCTATAACAAGACAATTAAAAAGAAAAATCCCAAATTTACAGCATTACAATTCAAAAACACATCAAGATCAGATACTACATAAATAAAAAAGAAAAAAAACGGAAGATAATGATAGAAACAAAGTACCAATTCTTCACAAAGCTCTTTTAAGGGCTTTCTCATGTCAGCATAGTCAGGAAAATCAGCGAATTTGTAGAAAGAAACCACTACAAGAGTTGATTCTGGGTTCGAGTTATTGGATCCGGGTGCGCCCGAAATGCTAAGTTGGTCTGTGCTAACAGACCCAGAGAAGCAGCTGGAGACTGTCATGTTTTGAGGTAATTTGTGTGAATTTGAAAGAGAGACCTTAGCGTTATTAGAGAAGAGTAGAGGGTGATTATGATTTTGCGATGAACTAATGGTTTGGGTGGTTGATTTCATAGGAGTTAGAAATGTAGGGTTAGGGTTTAAGGCATGAGTTGATGATGACAGCATCCTCAGCAAGAGCAATGGAGGTGAACAACTCCTGAGCATAGTATAAGGCTGCTGCTTTGCATTCGTACTTTATTTTATTTATATCTCTGGTGGCCCATTGGATGTTTTAAGCAGGAAGCCGAAAACAGCGTGTGCACACTTTTCAAAATCTATTTTTATTTAATTATATAATAATTAAAATAGATATTAGTAAAAAATATATAATCATTATAATTTCGTGAAAAAATATATTTTTTAGTTAAATTTTTCTTCAATGTATTTTTTTATTATAATAATAACATGTATTTCTATTAGTAGCATTGTTTATTAAATAAAATCTAATAGAATATTTATAAAAATAAATTTAGTTAAGGGGAGTTTTATTTATAAAATTAAAAAAAAATAAGAGTATCATGTCTAGGTGAAGACATTCTGCTTTCTCATTTTGAAGAACACTTATAGTAAATCACTCAACGTGAGAAAGGTAGCTTACAAAATAAAAGTGACAAACTAAAATAGTTGATTTTGGGAAGCAGGATGGTTGTATAGGGTGATTGGTTGACTCTTTCCAGAAAATCTCTAATGCTACTATAGATTTTAGGGATTTTTATGTAGGAAATGATAAATTTGATACAATTTTAGAAACCTCAATGTCGTGACTATAAACCAAAGCATATAATTTTTAAATTAAAATGATTCATCAAAGCGTTTAACATGTTATATATGTTTCATATTATAATTAATTAATTTTAAACGAACAATATTATTGTCCTCAACATCGTGACAAGCCAAATAAAAACAAATGCTTGGTTTTATGTTTTGAAAATTAGGTAAAAATAGATAAAGAAATAGTTATCTAGTATTGTAATTATTAAAGTTCTAATCAATCTTTAAAGATATGAGATAGGAGGCTAATTATGTTAAAAAAAGATTTTATCATTCTAAAATATCTCATCTAAGATAAGTTGTATTGTCACTTGTCTTTATTAATAATTATTTATTATGCTTAACTTACCGATGATCTATCTATATAAATTTACTATAATGAGTTAAATCTTATATAGGTTTTATGCTTCTCCATTCTAAAGTCCTAATTGTTTTTTTTGTCTTAAATTTTTTTAGTAAATTGACATTTTTATATTTATTTACTCCAAATCATGACTTGTGATTATTAATAGTTTATCAAGCCATGACAATGAATAATTGAATGTGATTTTATCAAGCTCGTTGAACTTATTCCCAAACCTTTAAATAATACCTCTCTAAATGTATTGTTTATGCAACAATGATCCATATATAACGACCCATTCAAGTTCATTTATCCTATAATATCGGGGTTTACTTGTAAATTCTGCTGAATGAGACTTTTTATACCCCAATCCTTAAATGTTCGAGCAATGATAATTGTTTAGGGTTTATTTACTTTGAAGCAAGATTTAGTGACACTAGAATTAAAAAATTCCAAAAAAATAATATTTTTGATGTGTCATCAACAAATATTTGACTAAAAAGAAAATTAATGTTACTGTTTGATAACTTAAAACCCACAAACCAAAACTAGGTGGGTTTTAAAAACCTTACTATCAATTACTATCATCCAAACATTGCATAAACAATATTGATAACTATTGAAAAGAAAGAAAAAACTGATCATCCCATGATTATCACGCATTGTCATACCATACATGTATCTATTATAAGTCATTAAAATTGTCGCAAGGCGATGTTGAAATGATGTGTTATTTAGCCTCTTGACAGGGTGTTGAAGAAAGGAAGGTTTTGGAATATAATCATAAAGTTATTATTATAAATTTCAGAAGTATCCACCTAACATTATAGTTATTAAAAAACCTATAATTGACGAGAGTTTAAGTAAGAGACTGGTTATGTAGGTAAAAGATACATCACTCCTAGTATACCTTATATAAGGTAAATTGTATTGTTATTTGATTATAATTCTAGGTCAAGTTTCTTTTCGTTGATCTTGTCTAAGGTTCATCGTAGATATCTTTTCATGAGGAAGTATCTAACTTATCGGGTTAAATACTAACCAATCTAAGATTTAAATTTTAGCATTGTATATATTTCTTTGTATTTTTAATGCCTAAAGAAGTATCTACTATGTACTTTTACACTCCTAAATATTAAAGTTTACATCTAAAACCTAATATAAAATGAACAAAATGATTGGTGATAAGTTTTTGATATTTTAGTCACATCCTAACGGATAATCATAAACTAATTATGATATCTATTTTTTTTTGTATTTTTAAAACATGAGAAAGAAGTAATTTTTTTTTTGTTTTTTATGAAGATATGCTTGAAAAACTTTTAGGATTTGACCATATGCATAAAAATAAAATATTTTTTATTTAATTTAAAAAACATAAATTAATTTAAAAAATTTTAGATTTTTTTTCAATTTTTAAATTTTTTTAAAAAACATTTCAAAGAAAATTAGATATTTTAATACTAGATCTGTATCTTAAAGTATAAATATATAGCTTAATATTATGCAAAATTGATATAAAAATATATGAGAAAATCATAAATGTTTTTTAAATAATTTTTGAAATTTTAAAATATTTTTTGTTTCTTTAAAACATATTATATAATATTCTATATTATTATAATATTATTATATTAGGCTACGCCCGACCTAGCTAACTAGGCAGGACCAAGCTAGGATGGACTGACTAATGGCCTAACAGGCTTTTTTATACTTTATTTTTGGGTTGGGCTAGGCCGAAACGGATTCAACCCAATTTGTATTTGCTAGTATAAGCCAATAGTTACAGGACGTGAATTCCTGTATGCAGACGAGGAAGTGGAGAAGAAGAAGAAGGAGCTCACTTTGCTTAGGGATCGCATATACTGTCACTATTCTAGCTGAGAATGGTGGAATGGCTAGTGATCCATGGTAGTGCTAAGGTGGTGGCTAGTTCTCCAGGGTGTAGGAAAAAAAAGAAGTCTACAATTGAAATTGAGACTTCTATTATATAAAAAAATAGCACTTTATTAGTCAATAATCCACAAACATTCCAAACAACTCCATGATCTAACCACCCAATCATACACACCTTGATTTTTATTCCCTTAATCCATTTTTAATGCCTTAACATAAACATACAATTTTATTTTACTAGTCAACTATTGAATACATCTAATAATTGACACGACCAAAAAATTAATGTCTTCTCTCAAATGCAGGAGTGTTGAAGTAATAAATAACTTGACAAGACCAGAGTCAAACCTTAGAGAGGTTAATTGTATAAATTATAAATCACAACAACAACAACAATAAAAATAATTGTCAAAGTTAAAGGATCCATTAATGGTATTTCAAATAAGTATAATATAAACTCTTTTCATTACTCAACTGGAAAACACATACAAAGAAGGTTCCAATCAGATTATAAATTGTTAACATGATTACATTAGTTATCTTATTCGAATAATACTAATACTTGTAAGTATTGTTAGGTATTCATGACTATAACTTATATTAACAACAAATCAAGTTCTTTTTATAGTACAGATGTCGGTTATACCATACGGTTTTGGTTATGAAAATGCCAAAGATTTATTATACTAAGTGATATATAAAATAAATCTAGATTAACCATTTAACAAGCAAAGTATTAAAAGTAAACAAGATAACAAATACAAAACATGTTAGTATGAAACATTAAAATCTATGTTGAGTTTACACTATACTTATTCTTACATAGTTAGTGTAACCTTTTCACCTTGACATAATAAACTTAACTCAACATAATAAAAGAAAGAAACATAAATAAACAAAATAAGAACATAAATAAAATAAAAGTTAACTAAATAAAGAAAATAAAATAAAAAGTATAAATGACACAACCAAAAGATTGATGAACAACAACAATAGTAACAACAACAACAACAATAGGAGTGTCGAAGTAATAAATAACCCGACAAAACCGGGATTGAACCACAAGGAGGTTAATTGTACAAATTATAAACAACAATTATGAACAACAACAATAGTAACAACAACAACAACAATAATAATAATAGTAGCAATAATAATAATAATACTAGTAGTAGTAAAGAAAGAAAGAAATGGAGAAGAAGAAGAAGAAGATGAAAACTTTGAGATAAAATATTAATGTAAGGATTAAACAATAATAATAACAAATGTCAATGTTAGAGATTCCACTAATGGTATGTCAAACAAGTATAATATAAACTCTTATTATTCAATTGGAAACCATACATAAAGGAGGTTCCAATCAGATTATAAATTGTTAACATGATTATATTAGTCATCTTATTCGATTAATGCTAATACTTGTAAATCTCGTCAAGCATTCATGATTATAACTTATGTTAACAACAAATCAAGTTCCTTTCATAGCTCAGGTGTCGGTTATACCATACAGTATGGGTTATGAAAGTGCCTAGCATTTGTTGTACCAAGTGTTATACAACATAAATCAAGATTAGTCATTTAACAAGCAAAGTATTAAAGACTGAACAAGATAACAAATATAAAACATGTTAGTATCAAACATTAAAGTCCATATTAAGTTTACATTATACTTATTTTTACACTATTAGTGTAACCTTTTCACCTTGACATAATTAACTTAGCTAGACATAATGAAAGAAAGAAAAATAGATAAAAAAAATAAAAACATAAAAGTTAACTAAGTAAAGGAAAGGAAATGAAAGGCATAAACTTAATATTAATGAAAGGAAGAGTATGATCTTGATCTGGACACCAAGATGCCTAAATACATGACAAATGCCTCCTTTTATAGGCCAAAATTAGGAACTATGGATTTGATGACTAATTAATAAGTAGGTGGCTAACTCTTGACTTGGTGACAATCCTTATCTTCTCTTGTCTGCCCAAAACGTCATTAATAACTTCAAAATTGGAGCTAGTTGAAAACATGAAAGTTATAGGCAATTATCTCAGATTTCTTGTGTAAAACATTCAGCTCATTTAGACTTCTAGAACTCCAGATATGGCCAAAATATTGAACAGTGCTCAGGCTAGAAGATATATTGGGACTTCTTTATTGTTGCTATAATTTGGACTTGAAAATGATATTTTTAGATC